CCAGCACTCCCACACGTGTGTGGGCTTGTGCTCTCTCTCTCTCAAATAAATCTTTAAAAAGACTAAACTATACACATTTTAAAGTACCTTAATTCAATGAGTCCTGACAGATGTATGCACCCATGAAATCATAATCATAATGAAAACAGAAAATTTCTATCACTTCTAAGAGTCCCCTGTAGCCACTTGAAGTTCATCCTTTTACCTCTGGCCCCAGATAACCACTGATGCACTCTCAGTCATTATAAAATGGTTAATATTTTCTAGAATTTCATGCAGTATGGACTGTTGTGGTCTCTTTTATTGAAGAGTAATATTTCACTTTATGAAAGTATGAGAATTTGTTTATTCACTCCTCTAGTGACGAGCATCATTTCCAGTTATACACCATTGTGAATAAAGTTGCCATAAATATTTGAATACAAGTCTTCAGGTGAAGACATCTCTCTTGTGTAAATACTGAAGACAAAAATGACTGAGTTATGTGATAAATGTATTCTTAACTTTTAAGGAAAGAGCCAAATGCTCTTCTAGTGTTGTGGCATTTTACATTTCTACTACCAGGGTACAAGAGCTCTAGTTGCAGCATATCCTCAACCACTCTTGTGTTGATGGTCTTTAGTTTTCTGTTTTAGTCATTTTATTTTTTTTTTAAAGATTTTACTTATTTATTTGTCAGAGAGAGAAAGAGAGAGAGAGCACAAGCAAAGTGAGCAGCAGGCAGAGGGAGAAGCAGGCTCCCAGCTGAGCAAGGAGCCCAATGCGGGACTTGATCCCAGGATCCCAGATCATGACCTGAGCCGAAGGCAGACGCTTAACTGACTGAGCCATTCAGGCATCCAGTTTTAGTCATTTTAATGTATATGTACTATGTACTGTATCTCACTATGGTTTTAATTTGCTTTCCCTACTAACGAATAATGTTGAACACTTTCTCATATGTCTATTGGCCATTCATGTCTTCCTCTGCTAAAAGTCCATTCAAATCTTTCATCCAATTATTTATTGGATTGTCTTCTTACGTATGTATTATGTACACAGTGAGGCAAGAGTCTACCTTCATTTGTTTCCATAAATATATCCCGATCTGTTCCAGATGTTCCTTTCCCCATTGAATTGCCTTGTTACCTTTCATTAAAATCACTAAACCATACTTGTGTAGATCCATTTCTGGTCCCTGTACTCTGTTGTTTTGACCTTAGTGTTTGTCCTTTCACCAATTCCATCTTGTCTTTATTACGGTAGCTTGATGCTAAGTCTTCAAATCAGGTAGTATGAGTCTTACATCTTTGCTCTCATTTTTAAAAGTTCCTTTGGCTATCCTAGGTCATTCATATTCTCATATAAATTTTAGAACCAACTTGTCAATTTCTACAAAAAGTTTACCAGGATTTCTAATGGAATTGCACTGATTCGATAGATCAATTTAAGAACTAACATCCTATCAAGAAAGGGGGGGACATCGGAGGGGGAGACGAACCATGAGAGACTATGGACTCTGAGAAACAAACTGAGGGTTCTAGAGGGGAGGAGGGTGAGATGATGGGTTAGCCTGGTGATGGGTATTAAAGAGGACATGTACTGAGTGGAGCACTGGGTGTTATACGCAAACAATGAATCATGGAACACCACATCAAAAACTAATGATGATTAACATATAGTGATTAACATAACATAATAAAATAAAAAAAAAAGAACTAACATCCTATCAATATTGAGATTTCCAACTCAGGAACATGTTATATCACTGCATTTATTTAGGACTTTAAAATATCTCTCAGCAATTTTTCTATAGTTTTCAGTGATGTGGTCTTATATTTCTTTTGTTAAATTTATTCCTAAATATTTTCTCTTTTAGTGTTATTACAAATAAATTAAAATTTAATTTTCTAATTGTTTGCTGCTGGTAAATAAAATTTTAAGTGACTTTTATAATCTTATATCCTGAGACCTTGCTAAATTCAGTTATTAGTTCTAGCAGTTATTCTTCAGATTTCTTAGGGATTTCCACATACACAATCATGTCATCTACAAATACAGCTTTACTTCTTCCTGTCTAATCTTTATGCCTCTCATTTCTTTTTGTCTTAATGTAATGGTTAGGGCCTTCAGTATAATATTGAACTGAAACAGTGAAAGTGAAATACCTGCCTACCTCCTGGAGCTACAGGGCAAGGCAAAGCATTCATCAACTGACCAATAAATATGAAGCTTACTACCCATTTTTTTGTAGAAGGACCTCATCAGAATAAGAAAGTACCTTTCTATTCCTAATTTGTTGAGAAATTATTTTTATAAATGGGTGTTGGGTTTTATCAAATACCTTCTGCAATAATGAAATGATCATATGTTTTTTCCTTTACTCTGTTAGTACAGTTAATTACATTGAATGATTTTCAAAATGCTAAACCAACCTTGCATTCCATTATCCATTTTTATTAGTCAAAAATTCTCTAGGCTGTGTGAAGAGAAAACATGACTATAGTTGTTTAACCAAGGATGGGTTTATTTTCTCACTTAATAAGCTTGAAAGAAGGTGGTTCAGTGCAGAGGTACCATCTTTGCAGTCATTAATGTCCCAAACTCCTTCTTCTTCCCTATTCCATCATTCTTAGTGTATGTCTTGCCTCTTTGTGGTTTTAAAATAGCTAATGAACTTTTTGGTACAGACCTTCATCTTAGGTAGGAAAAGGGAAGGATAAGCAAGCAGAAAGGAGTAATACTTTAATTCTATAAATCTTTAGCAGATTTCTTCTTGCATTTCATCAGTCAGAATTTGTGACTTGGGCTACATCTAGTTACAAGAGAGTTTGGGGAAGTGAGTTTTGCTTTGTTTTGTTTTGTTTTTTTACTAATTTAAAATGATTTTGTAAAAATAATTCAGTGTGCTTTTTCAATGTTTCCTTGCTTTTTCTCTTCATAATAAAAAATTTCAAACATATAAAAGTAGACATAACAGAATAATTAACCATAATGCATTCATAACCTGCCTTCAATTATCAACTCCTGGTCAATATCACTTCATCTTTACTTCTATCTACTTTCACATACCATATTATTTTGAAGCAAATCTCAGACATCATATATTTTCATCCATAAATATTTCAGTAGGTATCCCCCTAAGAGATAAGGGCTTTCTAAATCTAACTATAATTACATTATCACATCTAGAAGGGAAAAAAGTAATTATTATTTAATTTCTTCAAATATCCAATTGGTATTTAAATTTCTAAGAGGCAAGGTTTTTAGCTGAACACATTTCTTCTGTCCCCTCCCTCAAACCATGATTCTGTTCATAAAAAAGAAAGGGAGAATATATATTGAGTAGGAAATCTGCAGCACCTACCACACCATTTGTATTCTGTATATAAAAAGTGGCTTATCTAATATATTATATACACTCATATTATAAATTATGAGTCTTACTTGTTGATGTGCCAAAGAATAAGAGTACAATAATCCAAATTCCAAACTAAGTTGATTTTTAAAAATCACATAAAATCTTATCAAAATTTACTTATAAAATCACCTTAATATAAAATATTAAGCAGTTTTCATCAAAATGACACCACTCTATATTTAAGTTCTAGGTCCAGAGGAGTATGGAGCTCACACCACGTTTAACTCCTCTGCACTGCAAAGTAATTGGGTCATAGCCTTGACTCTTGACTTCACATTAAGAGATAAAATTAGTGTGGTATGCCTTATATTATGGGACTGGTAATTAAAGCTTCTGAGGTTTTGCTATTTCATCATTAATAATATTTTGGTTAAGCACGAACTGAGTCACTCTTGAAAGATACTGTAAGGCTTTGAGATACTCGATAAAACATTTAAAAGGTAGTATTTTTCCAAACCAGGAGTATATACTTTGAGTACTTTTTCCCTAACACATTTCTGAGTGGAAACATGTCCTTAATACAGAGTTGGCTAAAATATGTTAGGCATTAAATAATGAACATGGCTAATCTGCCTGTCTTACCCGTGTAGCAATATACCACAGCAGTGGTCACCTACTCTAGAGCCTGATTACCCACATCCAAATTCTGACTCTGCCATTTATTAGCAGTGTTATCTTGGGCTAGTAAGACTCTCTGTGCCTTTCCTCACCTGGAAAATGGGGATAATCATGGTTCCTAACTCATAGGTTCACTTAAAGACTTTTCAACACACTAGATCTCACTTATAGTAAAGACATATAACCTAGAGCGTAGGTTTCAGATGCAGATAGATGTGGGTTCAAGTCCCACAGGTTTACTTATTGGGTAGTTGTTTATCTTTTCTAAATATCTATTTCCACTAAAATAAGAATAGCAGCACTTATCCCAAAGTGTTGTTGTGACAACTGAGTGATAGAACCAATAAAATTGCCTGGCATAGGGAAATGACCTAATAAATGTTTATTATTATTATTGCATAAGGAATTTTACCAAAAAAAATGTTCCATTACTAAATATACTAAATATGCCTAAAACAAAGTTTAATATTCTAAAATCAGATAAAATCAAACTCTTAGCTTTCAATAAAGAAATGTTCTTTTACCTATTTCTGCACACATCAGGATCAAAGGCCAGACGAGCCCCTATTTGCTTACAACTAAGTTTGTGTAATAGTACTCATGTTCCTGAGTTGTGTAAGGAAAATGTCTTTTTTTTTTTAAATATTTTATTTATTTATTTGTCAGAGAGAGAGAGAGAGCACAAGCAGGGGGAGCGGCAGGGAGAGGGAGAAGCAGGCTCCCTATGAGCAAGGAGCCCGATATGGGACTCAATCCCAGGACCCTGGGATCTGAATCATTGCTCACTGCATTTTGCAAATGTCACTATTTCCTAAAAGAGAAATAAATCTTTCACCTTAGCCTCTATACTGTAGTACTTATTCTCAACATACCAAAATAATGACCTAATACTATAAATAGATTACACACACACAAAAAAGTGACATGTCTACTTCACCAAATGGACTCACTTTCCCAGACAATATTAAAGTAATCATCGTACCTTTTGTGGCAAGATTTCTAGATGCTGCAATTCTAGTAAGGCTTTTATGTTTTAATTTGTTTCTCTCTTCTTCAGTTTGCTTTCCTTGTTCACAGAATTTCTCTTCTCTCTGAATTCTTTTTTGTTCTTCAGCTTTTCTTTGACATTCTTTCCAGGCTTCCAATTCTTTAGTTGCTTTTAGTCGTTCATTTTCTTTCATATCTTCTATTTTTTTCCTCTCCTCTTCTTCAATCTGTAAAAATTACAATTACTAAAACCTTAAAACATACAAAAAGCAACATTTTAAAAATAAGAAATTCATTATAATAATTAGTCTTACCTCTAAACTCTTACCATTGTATCTGCAGCAGTAGTAGTAGTGAATAAAAAATTAAAATGGGAATGGTAAATGATTTAGGATGTCATGGAATACAGGTTTTAGTTCTAGATTTACCATTAATTATTAATATAATCTTGAGCAATCATTTTCTCTAGCCTCAGTTTACTCACATGTAAAATGGGGACAGGCATTCAGTTAAATGATATCTAAGGGCTTGGTAAAAAAAAATATTTTTCTAAAAACCAAGTCACTTTGGGGCGCCTGGATGGCTCAGTAGTTAAGCGTCAGCCTTTGGCTCAAGTCATGATCCCAGGGTCCTGGGATCGAGCCCTACATTGAGCCCAGCATCAGGCTCCTCTGGAAGCCTGCTTCTCCTTCTCCCACTCCTTCTGCTTGCGTTCCCTCTCTCTCTGTGTCTCTCTCTGTCAAATAAATAAATAAAATCTTTTAAAAAAATAAAAAGAGTCACTTCTCCCAAAATTTACACACACACACACACACACACAAATGCATGCACACACATTTATCTTTCTACTTATGCCAGTCTTTTGTCTTGGGACTGAAGTTGTGCCAACCTTCACCTTATGGAATGAGGGAACAGCAAGAAAGGAAATGGGAAGGATGAACTAGGAAGTTTGTCTCTGGTGGGTTTGAACTTTGAACGCTGCTGCCAACTGCATTTGCAATAGCAGGTATTTGAAGCTTCCACAAGAAAAGCTAATTATCAGATGAATTTGAAAGCCGTACATTGTACAGGAGTGTGCTAACTTTCTCTCCCTTTCACAAACTTCCTTCATATGGGCAAGGAAGAAAAACCCTGTGAAAGAGTAACTGTTTGGTGTATATGATTGACTCTATGTATCTGACTTTCCTGTGGTGACAAAAATACCTCATCTCTATCCTCTAGAGAACAAAAATTCTCATCTCTATGTCCAGAGAAGCAGTGTCTAATAGAATTTGTCCCCATGAGGGCAATGTTTTGTGCCATTCAATACAGCAGCCACTCGCCACATGTGGCTCATTAAGCACTTACAACGTGGCTGATGCGATGATGAAAAACTAAATTTTTATTTTATTTGTGTTTCATTACTGTAAATTTAAATTAATTTACATTTAAATAGTACATTTGGCACAGCTCTACAAGAACACGTTGGGACGAAGTTTCCTAGAGGCGGAATTATTTCAGGATACAGAATAAACACAGGTATGAAACTGCACTGAAAAGGTGTTCTGTAATATCTGCATGACCTAATACCCTCTTCTGGAAGACTGCTTGTTATTTTCCTATTGGACTGTGGAACACTGACTTTAAAATAAATTTCACAGATTACTGAACAGGAGTTTCCTAGAGTCCCAGAATTGCACATAAGGCCTAAACTAAGCACAAAAGATAGCAATTTTTACATATTCTAAGTTCAGAGAGTTGCCAGTGAGCTGCCAATAGGTTGGGCCAGAAGAATCTGTGGCAATGAGCCAGGCTTTAAACGCCTGACAACAGGGCATGATGACCAGTCAGTGTTAGCCACAGGCAGCCACAACCTAAAAGGAGATGACAGCTTCACCCAGTTTAATGATATGTTTGCCTTTTTCCCTGCTTCCTCTCTGCCCCAACACATGGACAAAGGGGAAAGTATGTGGAGTCAGAACACCCTCAATCCCTCATAATCCCTACAAGTGGAGTGAATTTTTGAAAAGTTTTTAAAAATGTGTAAGACCAAGTCTTAGTTACCAAAAATGAGACTGTCCTTACACCAAAAAGTAACAGGAAAATTAGGGTAGTAAAGATGTAATTAAGAGAACTACACACACACACACACACACACACACACACACACACACACACAATTTATAAGCTATATAAGAAACAAAAAAAGTCTAACTCTTCAGGGAGTAAGGGGGAAGAGGGACCAAAAAAGGCTTCATAGAATAGGTGACAAAGAGACTCGAATGAAGAGAAAAACATGAAGAATACCACAAAAGTCCTTATAATAAAAGAAAAGAGAGACTAAATATATCAAAGAGAAAGACAAATGCTAAACAATCCTTGAAATTCTTTTATAAAAAATAATACAATATGTGAAACATAGCACTTAAAGGAGAACTGTATAATAACATAAAAACTCAGAAAGCTAGAAAAACAATCATCACATATGAAAAAACTGGATTTTAAGTACTTTGTGCCACTGAAAAAAAGAAGGATGCCATTTAATATGGAGTATTAATTTAATATAGACAGGAAGTGTAAATAATAGGAGGATAAGAACAGGTCCTGAACCAAATTCCTGAAGAAGGGGAAATCTGTATTTCTTTTAATTTGGAATGCATGTCTGGTTTATTAAGGCAATGTTCTTTATAAGCCAATCTCTATTATGAATTACATGTACAAATCATAAATATTAGCAAACTGAATTGAGGGAAATATTAAAATTATAATACATCTTGATCAAGTAGCACATTTCTTTATTTATGATATTAGGAAATCAAAAGAGAAAAACAATATGATCTTAGTACATACCAAAACACCAGTTGATACTAGGAATAAAAGAAAAATTTTAGCTTAATAAAAGGACTCCTACAATGTCACACTTCAAGGTGAAGCATTAGAAATATTTCTAACAAAGTCACTAAAGCCAGTATACTTAATATCTTATTATTTTCCTAGAGATCATAACCTATACAATAGAATTTTTAAAATATATTTTATATATTAAAATTTTATATTAGTATATTTATTTAAAAAATAAATATAAATACAGATTATAAGGAAATAAAATTGTCATTATTTGCAAATAATATGGTAGATTACCTAAAAGAACCAAAATAACAAACTGACAAACTATTAGAACTATTATAAAAGTAAGTTTAGGGCGCCTGGGTGGCTCAGTTGGTTAAGCGACTGCCTTCGGCTCAGGTCATGATCCTGGAGTCTTGGGATCGAGTCCCACATCGAGCTCCCTGCTCAGCGAGGAGCCTGCTTCTCCCTCTAACCCTCCCCCCTCTCATGTACTCTCTCTCTCTCTCTCTCTCATTCTCACTCTCTCAAAATAAATAAATAAATCTTTAAAAAAATAAAATAAAAGTAAGTTTAGCGAGGCAATCACATACAAGATCAACTTTATATGAACTCAAAAAAAGTTACCTTCCTACAAACTGGCAATAAACAATTAGAAAAATACAATGGAAAAAAATCATTTCATTAGTAATTGATTAAAAAAAACTTTTAAAATGCTAAGAATAAGCTTAACAAAATATGAGTAAGTCCTAGATGTATGTTAAATAATTTTGCTAAGGGGGCACCTGGGTGGCTCAGTCGGTTAAGCATCCAACTCTTGATTTCGGTTCAGGTCATGATCTCAGGGTCATGAGATTGAGCGGCATGGGGTGGGGAGCTTGCTTAAGATTCTCTCTTTCTCCCTTTCCCTTTGCCCATCCCCCCCCCACTTGAGTACACGTGCTCTCTCTCTCTCTAAAAATATAAAAATAATAATAAAACAATAATTTTGCTGAAGGATAAGTCCAAATAAATGGGGATAAATGCCATGTTCCTGAAGGGAAATCTCAATAATGTAAATATACTGATATTCTGAAAATTAACTTATAAAGTCAATGTAGATCTAATCAAAATACCAAGAGAACTTCTTAGGGATCTTGATAAGTAAATGTAAAATTCAGCTGCAAAAAAGAATGTACAAGTTTTATAGAGGCAGGAAGGGGTTGGCAATTCCCATACACAAATATCAAGTATAAAGCTGGACAAATCTATTAAAAAGAACCATTTCAGAACACTGGAAACTAGGCAAAGACAGCCTGCAAATTGAGAAGTGTTTGTTCTAGAATAAATGCTAAAGTTACCGGCAAGAACAGTGGGATGCTGTGCCCTTCTGCCTGGGGTTGCTCCCAACCACCCAATGCCAGCTTCAGTAACCAGACTGGCAGTTCTGCCAACATGAAACTAGCAAAAAGAACCCAACAGCTTTGTTGGCAAAAAGGGTGGATGCATTTCGAGAAGAGGGAGAGGTGAAAACCCATGGTTTTGGTGGATAAAAGTGATAGACTTGGTTGGGAATGAACAGGGAAAATTTAAACTTGGGGTCTGAAGTTGAAATCCTGGTTAAGGTGAGTGCTTGACTAGTCAGAACATTAACAGAAAGATCATGTAAATGAGAAAACCATAGAAGGTCTATAATAAGCTTACCATACAACTCTGGCTAAACAGAAAGCTATGTGTTTGTTGGGGAGACCTGAGGAAGCTTGGCATAAAATGAAGCCAGGGCGGGGCACCTGACTGACTCAGTTAGTAGAGCCTGTGACTCTTGATCTTAAGGTTGTGATTTTGAGCCCCATGTTGGGTGTAGAGATTACTTAAAAATAAAATCTTAAAAAAAAAGAAAGAAAGAAAAAAAAGAAACCAAGGAAGGGTTGAAAACTGGCTCCAACTTTGAATGTATTCTAAAACCTACACATAGACTGATCAGCAAAGGGTGGGAGCCTTTACCGCTTCTGCCCATATAATTAGTTAACAATTAAGTTATGCAGACACAGGAAAGACTCCTAAGGAAGACAGCCTAAAAAATAAGAATTAAACACTTAGCAGAGACATCCGCAGCTGTATACAGGGAGACTAGGCTGACTTCACAATTAAAGTACAGGCAACCTGAGAGGTGGAGCAAGATGGCAGAGGAGTAGGAGACCTAGATTTCCTCTGGTCCCAGGAATTCAGCTGGACAGGGATCAAACCATTCTGAACACCTACGAACTGAACAGGAGATCGAAGAAAAGAATAGCAACAACTCTCTGAACAGAAAAGTGACCACTTTCTTGTAGGTAGGAGTGTGGAGAAGTGAATCCGAGGCGATATTCGGGAAGATAGACGGCGGGGGAGGGGGCCTCCATCGGCTGCTTCTGACAAGTGA